TAAATAATAGGCTGAGATGCACAAGAGGCTTGAAGGTGACACAGCCAGGACAACTTTTCTGAACCAGCAAAGGTATATTCCCTACCCTATGATGTTGTGCTCAGCAACAAAACTGGGGTATTCCATGAAGATGATATTGAGGGCCTGGTAGACTGTCTTCTAAGCTGGCTTTTGCTTGAAGCCTGTACTGGGATTGGTCTGCTTATAGGGGGTGGTAAATGACTGCCTTTGTATGGCTTCTTTCTTTGTCTTCATTCATTAAACTAACTCGACCTGTGACCTTTTCCTCGTTTTTGCCTATCCCATGCTCTCCCCACCCTGCTAGGAAGGAGCAGGACACTGCATGATGGCTTAGCTGCCAGCCACATTAACCCACCACAACAGTTTATATTATTCTTATCACACTAACAAAGCTCACAAGTGCTAGTATCGTTCTAGCATTAAAGTGAAGCCTGACCCTTCTACATTACCTTCAAATATTTTATTTATACCTCCCTTATAAGCCTTGGTTTAAAGTAGCAGCCTTTGCAGGGATATATTCTGGCTTTACCTGAGCAGTGGCTGTGTTCCAGACGCATAACTCATTGCCATTCACAGGGAAAGCGCAGTGGTGGTGACTGCACGCCAGCTGAGCAAGGGGCTCGGGCAGTTTGGCTTTAAACAGGTGCTTTTCGCAGACAACGTCGGGATCGCAGCTTCCTCCAGCGGAACAACGGGCCTCGGCGCTTTCCATCCTGCGGTTGGGAACGGACCACCGGGGCCGGCTTCTCCCCTCCGGCTGCGCCCTGCCCGCGGGGGCCGAGGTTCGCACGGCCCGGGGCGGAGGACCCTCCCGCGGGGAGCCGGAGAGCCCCGCCCGGCCGGGCCCCGCCGCCTCCCGCCGCGCCCGGCGCGGCCCGTCACCAGGGCAGCGGCGCCGCCGACGGGTGGCCGGGCGGGACAGCCCCCGCTGGCCGCGGAGCGCGGGGGGGGCCCGCGGCGGCACCGGCAGGCCCCTCGCCTTGGCAACGGGCCCCGTGGCCGGCGACTGCCGCCCGGGGCTGCACCCTCGCTCCCCAGGTTCTCCGCAGCCGTGCCCTGGGCTGCACAGAGAGCGGCGTGGCCGGCAAGCCCGGGGAAGAGATTGCCCGCTCGACTCCGCTCTAGCTGGACCCCAGCTGGAGCACTGCGTCCAGCATGAGACAGGCTCTTGAGACCTTTTGAGGCGGTCTTTAAGGACGGATGCCAGCACATCTCCTGGATGAGAGAGGTGGGGTTTTAACAGAATCAATGCGTCAGGTTAGAAGGCATCACTGTGGGTCAATCTGGTCCAACCTCCCTGCTCAAGCAAGGTCATCCTAGAGCACATGGCACAGAATTGTGTCCAGGTGGTTCTTGAATATCTCCAGCAAGGAAGACTCCACAACCTCTCTGGGCAATCTGTTCCAGTGCATGGTTACTCGCACAGCGAAGGAGTTCTTCCTCGTATTCAGGTGGAACCTTTTTGTCCTGGAAAAGAGAAGGTTCCAGGGGCACCTTGAAGCAGTCTCCAAATATATACAGAAAGACAGAGAGAAACTTTTTACCAAGGCCTGTAGTGTCAGGACAAGGGGCAATGGCATTACACTAAGAGAGGATAGATTTGGATTGCATGTAAGGAGCAAACTTTTTACAGCACAGATGATGAGGCACTGGAACAGGCTTCCCAGAGAAGCTGTGAATACCCTGCCACTGGAAGTGTTCAAGGCCAGGCTGGATGAAGCTTTGACCAACTTGATATACTAGAAGGTGTCCCTGCCCACAGCAGGGGGGTTGGACTAAGTTATTGTTAAAGGTCCTTTCCAACCAAATCCTTTCAGTGCTTCTGTGATGCAGAGGGCACAGCACAGACCAGCTCATAACAGCACATGAAGCATCCTGGGCTGTGTTAGTAATAGAGAGTAGCCAGCAGGTCCTGGGAGTGCTTTTCCCCCTCTGTTTGAAACCTGGTAGGACACATCTGCAGAGCTGTGTCCAGTTTTGTGGTGGTTTTTTGTGTGTTTTTTTTGTTTTGTTTTGTTTGTTTGTTTGTTGTTGTTGTTGTTGTTTTTGTAAAAGAAAGATATTGACACAATAGAGCAATTCTAGTAGGGGGCAAGAAAGAGGGTCAGGGGCTGGAGAAGGTGATGTGCACAGAGAGCCTCAGAGAACTAGGCCTCTTCAGCCTGAAAAAAAAGGCAGCTGAGACCTTATTGTTGCCTATAACTTCAAAATTGTAGGATACAGGCAAGACAGAGATAGACTTTTCTCAGAGGAACTCAGTGATAAGCTGGAACCTGTGAAAATCCAGTTGGATGTCAGCAATTTTTTTTTTAATACCATGATGGTGGTTGAATATCAGAACAAGTTTCCTGAAGAGTCTCTATCCCTGGAGTTGACCAGGAGTCAGATGGACACGGTCCTGAGCAACCTGATTTAATTAGAACTGTTTTGAACAGGAAGTTGGACTGGAGGAGTCTGGAGACCCCTTTCAAACCCCAGGTTATGATTTTATGATCAAGTGTGTGATCTGCTCCAACTTAAAACCATTTTGATGTAGATCAGTCTGTGGACTCAATATGTACCTCAACTGCATTTCAAACATACTTTCTATAGGAATATCTTATTGTGCCTATAATTAAGACTATTAGCATTTTTGCCCTATATTGGCATCTAATATATGTATTATCATTGCAAACACAATCTCCTTCTGTTACTTTTGCTTGGAGAAAGTACCAGTCCAAATTCTCTTTTGTGTGAGCATGTGACTTTGAGTAAAGCCACTGTATTGAGCACCAGCCGCACAGAGGTAACAATGCACTGCACATGACAGCATTTTTCTGAACTGTGAATCATGGCTAGAAATACTAGAGAAAATTTTATTGCTGGTGACAATTTTTCATGAGTGATAGAGTAATGAATGCATTATGACAGTTTAGTCATCAGTAGAGACAAATGCTGACACAGAAAAAAAGGTGTTGTTTTGCCAGGCATACAACCCCCATGAGTCTTAAAGAACTTGTTCTGAAATACGTTGTGTCTCTGTAACTGCTTCTAGACAGTTTAGTATGCTTTTTTTTTAAATTTTCACCATAGTTAATTTGCATCTTTCAGTGTTTGTAGATATAATACTTCCAATAACGTACTGTCCATAACAACTAAAGAACTAGTAACAATCCAAGGAAGTATCAGGGATCTTGGACTGATTTCTTGACTGATCCAACAGCAGTTAGAACACTGCTTTCCTGCGCCTGAACCCTGAACCAGTAACGTCAATCTGATGGAGTCCAATTCAGACCATCACTGCTTTTCGCCCTTCCAATAGGTGCTGTTGCTTCTCAGTGGCCGAGTGCCACTCATCCAGCACTGTAACAGGCAGCAGATTTCTGCCCTGTTGGAACAAGGAGACAGTTTTATGAGAACATTAATGATGTCTAAGTGTGCAGAGAGAATTTTTTTCCTCACCACAGCCCCATGAAACACCTCCTGGTGATACACTGTTTCTATGCAAAACAATGCCTAAAGGATCTTGGCTCCAGCACATTCCCGCATCCTGGGTACCCTATGTCAAATGGAACTGACAGTCATATGGAAAATGAGAGACTGTTGCAGTTTTAGGGCATATTAGGGATATAGCAGTCCTTTACCATATCATGCTTTTGTGTCCAACAATATATTTCTATTGGTCTCAATATTCAATCACTGTAAGAAGAACTTAAAAAATTAGGTTTAGCAGCTTTAATATTTTAATGTTTTAAGCAGTAGTCTGTTTATAAGATTGAAATTGTTTTTAAAAATATTAAATTTATGAGAATCTGCATCTGGCAGGTTTATGCAGCCCATTTGTTTGAGGTAGGAATGAACAGAACAAGTTATGTGTTTTTTATGAAATTGGAGGGCTTTGAAGACAGAATATTATCTCAGTTAATACAGGGCCCCTGGGGTACATACACAGATTCTCTTGGATCTCCTAGAACACAAAGCACTCCATGCAGATTTTTTTTTTCATTTCAATCCTTCACTCTTGCTTATGTTTTTAAAAAGCTCAGCCAGGTCAAGATAACTGTTGAAATCAAATCAAGTGGTATTCAGTAGGACAATAGACAACAGGCAGAAACTGATGCACAGGAAGTTCCACCTGGATGTGAGGAAGAGCTTTACTGTTCGGGTACTGCACATAGGAACAGACTGCCCAGGGAAGTTGCACAGTTTACCTCACTGGAAATATTCAAGAACCGTCTGGACACAATCCTGTGCCACGTCCTCTGGGATGACCCTGCTGGAGCAGGGAGGTTGGAGCAGATGACCCACTGTGGTCCCTTCCAGACTGACCCATTCTGTGATTTCGTAAAAAGCAGTATTTGGGGTGGGTTTTTTTGTTGTTTTGTTTGGTTTGGTTTGTTTTTTTTCCTCTTTTCGCAGCGTTCTTCTGTTCTGTGATCTCAGGCCAGCTTTATTCCGACAGCCAAACAAACTGTCACTAACTCCTGCAGGGACACACATGCCCCAGCAAGCACATGACATCCCATGTCAGTGTAGCTGAATTTAATTTCTCTAGTTTTAGGCTTTCACTGTGAAGACCGGCGAGTCTGGCGCACCACAGCTCCTACCCTGGGACATCCCCCACGTCCCGCCGCCCCCTCGCGCCCTTCCCTGAGGAGCACCGCTGTGGCCCCGCCCCCGCCGCCAGCTCTCGCGATAGCGGGGCGGCGGAGCTGCCCGGGGCGGGGCGGCAGTGCCGGCGATACCGGCGGCGATCGGGGGGGCGGTGCGGAGCTTTTACCCGCCCCAGCGAAGCGACCCCTGCCCGCTGCTCCGGGCCGCGCTCGCCGGGGCGCACCCGAGCGGCCCCCGGAGCGCCCGAGGGGGAGCAGCGGCCCGCCCTGCCCGCAGGCTCCTCAGCGCCGGCCTCCTCCCGGCCGCCGCGCTGCCCCGGGGCCCGCCCCGGGGAGGGGCTTCCCCGCGGCGCCCCGACCGCGCTGCGCTGCCGCACGTCCGCGGAGCCCTCGCCGCGCTTCCTCGCCGTGGCCGTGGCCTCGCCGTCGCCGGAGCCCCGCGGCAGGCCGGAGGTGAGCCGTGCCCCAGCCCCCGGCCGGCGGGGTGACGCAGAGACCACCGCCGGGGCCGCCCCGCGCCCCCCGGAGCCGCCGCTGGCCCCGAAGGGTGTCCCGCCCGCGGGGAGGCGGGGGGCGAGCCGGGGCGGGCGGAGGTGCTCGTTCCTGGCTCTGTCCAAGGTCTCCCGGAATCGCCACTCCTCCCGAGCGCTGCGCCAGCGCCAGGACGCTTTCGCTCGTCACTAGATAACTTTAATTATTTTCTGCTCGGATATGAAGGTCCTCCTGTGCCTCCGCTCGGGTATTTCATCACTACTTCGATGTAAAAAGTGGCAGAGAGTGAGCTCCGTGATACGGGGAGCTAAAAGACTGTCCTTTCCTGTCGCTGTTGAGGGAGTTTTGTCAGTCTGGCAGGTTCTGCGAATGCTGCGCCTCCGTCTTTTGTGCTGGCTTTGCAGAATTGCGGCTTTGCAGTATTGTGGCTTTGCTTTCTCTGGGGCAAAAAACTTGCAACTACAGAAGTAGTTGTACATCTTTTTCCCCCTAGATTTGTTTAATAATAAGACCTCTAAGGTTTAAGTGGAAGTAATGCAGTTTGTTTAGATGCTAGCAGGGTACAAAGCAACTTACAGGCAGCTTTCATGTTTAAGATATTTGTAGTGTCCTTATGGAAGGAACGAGGGAATAGGAATCTTCCTCTTAAACTTGAAGATGTTTAGGATTGTGATTCCTGTGATTTGCACGTCAGTCAGCTGTACACTTTGGAAGCCTTCAGCAAGGTTTGGAGGTTGCTGCTTTGCATGCAGACTGAGCACAGCTGTTCAGAGGACTGGAGTGTGGCAGGCACGCTCAGGCGGCCCAACTGGGACAAGGGAGGGAAAAGGGTGTAAGACCTCTGATCTTGCAGCAGTCATTTCCATCTTCCCCTTGCCCCAGTACTTTCTCTTTTGTAAGCAAGTGCCGTAAAGGGCTGGGTGTTTGGTAACAAAGTCTTGAAAGTAAATGCATTTTTTTTAGGGAAAATAAGCTGAATTTGGCCCTAGAAGCAAGCCACACAGCATAATCGTAAATTAATGTATTACCTCATTAGATAATGTTTTTCTTTCTAACTGCATTCTCAGTGCAAGTCAGAATGCCTACTGCTTCATGTGCACATCCAGATTTACACCTTTACTGTCTTTTGAAGTTTAAATGAGAGGATGGAAGAAACAAATAGGATGTCCTAAATACCTCATAAAAAGTTAAGCTTCTTCAGGCATGCAAAAGCCTTCAGTTTTTTACCTGTTTGGTTTTTTTTTAAACTGAACTTAAAATAGTTACTGGGTTTCGTCCCTTCTGGTTACCTGCCAGATTTCTCAGGTATGCAGGTAGAATGAAACAAAAGTCTTTGCATCAGTTCGGAACACTGGCTTAATGAATTTCTGTTTAACTTTAGGGAATTCAGGGCCATTTTCAATCTGATTCAGAACTCTGAATCTTAGCACTGTTTTCTTCTGTTACTATTCAAAAATAAAAGTTAATGAACACAATTGAAGTTGTTTAACTTGGTATGGACTAGAGATGATTTATAAAAATTACAAAATTAAAAAAAAAATCAGTTCCTTTCAAGGAGGGAATATACTAAAATCTGATTTGTGTTTTGTGTTCACAAGGTAGGAGACGGGACACAGGAAGAGTCCAAGTACAACCCAAGACCATGGCAGCACACTGGAGAAAAGTCCTGATAATATGTGTGACAGCTCAAGTACTGCTTGTAAATGCCTTTGAGGAAGAGGATGTACCTGAGGAATGGATTCTTCTTCATGTTGTTCAAGGTCAGATTGGAGCAGGAAACTACAGCTATTTGAGACTAAATCACGAGGGAAAGATAGTCCTTCAGATGCGAAGTTTAAAAGGTGACGCGGACTTGTATGTATCTGATGTGACACTTCACCCCAGCTTTGACGAGTACGAGTTACAGTCTGTAACCTGTGGCCAAGACATGGTGCATGTGCCTGCACACTTCCGCCGCCCCGTGGGAATAGGGATTTACGGCCATCCCTCTCACCTGGAGAGCGAGTTTGAAATGAAAGTGTACTACGATCGAACAGTTGTACAGTACCCATTTGGTGAGGCTTCTTATAACCCTGAGGAGATGGAGGCAAACCAGAAATACTCACAGTCTGCAGAAGATGAATCTCAGGATGAGGAGTCTGTTTTCTGGACTATACTTATTGGAATATTGAAATTAATACTTGAAATTCTTTTTTAAATTGTTACACACTGGACTAAGTCACAATTCAGCCTGTGAAATTGAGTACGAATGACATGCTGTAATATTTAATACTCTTTGTTATGTTTCCTGAAGAGGTATTCAGGTTACATTTCCTAAACCAGAAAGGAGGCGGGGAGAAAAAGCCATATTTAATTTTATATTGTAAATCCTCCCCTATATGTAAAATGAGCAGCAAGCACAGTATTTGCAGTGCTCTTCAGAGATCAGGGCTTAAAAATGAATGTAGAGTTGGGATCTTGTTAACTTCACTTTTAAATAGGTGCTTAGGATGATCAACTCCAATTCAGTATTTTCTATTGTTTTTTACAAGGAAAAATGAAATTCCTGCACTTCAGTCCCCCTCTCAATTTAGAGCATATTTAAAAATAAAACCTGCTGCTTTTTGAGCAAATATCTCCAATAAAACTAATTAGCAATGGGTTTGTGTGTATTCATCAAGTTGAGGAGCCTAGGGCCAAGGAAGGAGAAAACAATCAATCACCTAAGGGGATAGGTGGTCTGTATTTCGGCTGTGTGTGCTCTGCATCACGTCAACCATCTGTCAAGCAGAGATCTATCCAGTCACTACAAATCCATGACCTGAATCAAGTGCATGTTGCTTCTTTGCTGTTACTGTAGGGAGAGGGAGCCTTCAGCTGTTTTTACTTGTCAGTATGACATTTTCATCTCTCATTAAAAACAACACAGCATATAGTATCTCGAACTTGAGGGGTGCTTTCTTACACTTCCCTTTAAAGCTTTTTGTGATTGATCTTTTTTTTTAGCACATCTTTATGCATAAGCCATTAGCTTGCAAAGAAAATTTCTGCTGAAAGGAAGAAGGTCATGTCATACCCACTCTTCCTCTAAAGTTACTTTTCACAAGAATATTTTTTCTTTGGTTGAGTCTTTCAAAATAACCAGTTGCTATGCAAATAGAGTATATTTAAAATGATCTGTAGTTTTTTTTTCATGGAGCTTACTGATGAGTGCACTAAAATAAACAAGTACGTTACTATAATTTTATACAAATGATGGATGTACAATTTAAATTTCATTCTCAAAAAACTTCTCTTTTGGAGTGGAAATTTGGTTTGTCTATCTCGACATCTGACAGGACATGATTAGTGACTTGTATCACAAAAAATAATTATATAGACCAATTAAAAGTTTATTTGGTAAAAAGAAAAAAAAAAAGTGGTATTGTTCCTCTTAGAGTGGTTGACTAAATAGCACCAAAGTATCACTTTAATTTGTGCATTTAAGTTTTGGAGAGCAACTTTTTGGGTTTTTTTTAGCCCTCTTTGCTGTTTTTCCCCCTTCTTCCTCCTCTTCTGGGTACAGGAGGGTCTTTTTGACAACAATCACAAATCCAGCGACCTAAGAAAAGAAAGTTATCAATTATTGGGAAACTAAGTTTGTTACTCACTCATCTAGCTATGCACCTTTCATCATTCTAACAGGCACTTATCTATTTGCAGTACTTCCTTTAATGCAAACAACCAGTGCTTTTCTTTAAATTTAAGCATCTTTTCTGTAAAGCAGCATATACAATTCATGCTCCCTTGCAGACTCCTTACGTGTAACCACTGGCTACACAAATCCTTACAGACCTCAAGAAGTGTCAGCAGTACCAAGGACATGGTTATTAGATAAGACTTGACAAACAACGCTCAAGTTTGCCAGTTATATTTTCAGGTGAATAACTACAGTTCAAGGTTATGGGAAGTTACCCAGAGCAGAAACGAATGGCACTTGGGGAGGCATTTAACTGTTTATATTACAAAGAGCTGGAACCATAAAGGCTGCTTTGGTAATTTTACAGTTTTTTAGACACATATGATCTATTTTGTTTACATTCTTAGGTCAGCCTGAAAGTGAAATCAACCGCAGAACGTGTACTAAAGTGACAGCTAGTGCCAGTGCTTCCTAAAATGGGACTGGACAGCATTTTTGAAGTAGCATACACGGCGTATTGTCACTGCCACTGAGTACTTATTCATAAACTTACTTACCATGGATTTAGTATTACATGTAATGCAACACAGCACCTGTTATTTTCTTTCTACAGCCTTGAGTTAGCCAGGTGATATGAGTGACTGGGTAATTTAAAAGTACAGGCTGGCTGCCTGCCTGCCATAGACATACTTCAGTTAGAGCTTTGAAGTTTAAATAAAAAAGGGAAGGAGAGGGTTTAAAGAGGTGTTTACAAATATTGAAACTACATTTGAATTTAGAAGCTGAAACAGCTGCACCAACAATTAATGTGAAAGCTACACTCTAGCAATATGCAGCAATACAGTCTCTTTTACAAAAGTTTCTTTCATTAAAAGAGGTTAAATACCCTCAGTGTTCTGTGGATATGGAAGAAAAGAGTTCTGAGTGAGCCTGTTTGGTTTATGTTGTAAAAGCCCATTATATTTCCTATACAGGAATTGCCAGGTTAAACTGTGCACAACCAAATATACAGAAATAAAGCATATTAAAAAGATCAGGTCCTACAGTGTGAATGCTTTCCTATAGTATTTCTTACTCCTACCCTTCACACTTGTTTTAAACTATTCTTTCAAAAGCAGTTCATGGATTAATTCTGAGAGAGAGGGCCCAGGATTCAAAGGAGGTGTGAAGGGAACAAGTAACTCTTACTTTATTACCTGAAGGGATAGCGTCAAGCCCCACACAAAAAGTGTGATAACCACGGTCACATACATCACAGAACATCATTTCTTCTTCATGGTGAGGCTGCCCACATATTATGCACGTTTTACACTCCATACATTGCCAAGGATAAGTCTTAATCATAGCAACAAGCTCCGGGGTCATATCAAGGCAAGAAGGGTGGCCTAGATTAAAACCAGTATTATTACTTTTATGTCTGAAATGAAATTTGAAATTAGTTACACTCTTTGCTTTTACCAAAGCTGAAGCTTAGCTCACCTCCTGGTGAGATCCCACAGTGCACCAAGTGTGCTAGTACATACAACAGGGAAGAGAGATGGAGTCTTAATGAAGGACAGAGGAGGCAACTGAACTATTGCTGCACATGTGTAGGACACTCTATGTCCACAAAAAGATCTATCAAACAAACTCCCTTAGGAATCCACTGAGTGGACGCAGATACTTACCACTGTTGTCACACTGGGAGCAATGTATAAGAGCTTCAGCTTTTCCTTTCTTGTTGGAGTCCTTACCCTTCAGACAAATTCCACATATAGCATTTGGAATGACCTTTGGCTGGAAGGGTAGAAGAGGGCTATAAATTCATTCCAGAAGAATTTACAGATTCAACAGGAATTGTCATCTATCTCCTTAACTATTAAAATTAATAAACTGTTAGGATGTGTGGACCTTAAAACACGTGACAATAACTGACAGCAGCACTGAAAAAAAATCATAGATTAGGTACATACAGTTTTCCATCTGTCATACATAGTGAGTTATATATAAATCAAACTGTATCAAAATCATGTACTTGCTTCTTCCTATGAATTCATCAGCTAACATGCTCCTCAATGTAAACTAAATGTGACAGGATGAAAAATTTCACTTTTTCCAATATAGAATACTACGTTATGAACTTCAATGTGGACCCTCCTGTTTATGGAAGACATTATGTACAATTTATTTGCATTACATTTGCCCCTAAATAGAGAAAATTAATTACAAAAGCAATAAACTTGATTTTTTTCTAATTAGCTTCAAATTATCTGGTTAGCTATGCCATACAGAGCTCTCTCTTTTACTATTCCTTCTTGTATCCAGTCATAACAGCTATAAGAAACAGAGCCTTGCATTTAACTACAGATTTATATTCATAATTTTTCTAAGTGATGATATGGAGTGTGTCTGGGTCCATGAGATCCATTTAAAGGGTAAGAGAAATAGCAGGCTGTTGCAATGTGGAACATTTGTCTATGTGTCTATTCTGCGTCTCAACTCCAGAGATACACCATTTTATTCCAATGAGGAAAAAGTACAGCATTACAAATTTCAGAAATATGGCAATACTTGTATTGTTGAGCTTTGACCACTGCATAATTACATTAGTGACAAATGTAGTTTGCACTTAATGAAGTGCTCACTGATGTTAAACTGACTAATGTCAGAGTTTTAAAAACAATGGTGCTGCGTAGACACAGCAAGTAGAAGGAGCTGAAGGCATATCCTCTTCTAAACAGCTTGTCAGGAAGCAAGAAGGATCCCAGTCAACTACCAAACACAGGGAGAAGAATGCGGTTTAATTTTAAAATAAATTTAAAAAGTGAAAACACATATGTATATATACTTTTAAAAATAATTACTGAGGTATTTTGCAATACTACTTATTTTTAAATGTGTTTATTTCTCAACCCAGTTTTTCCTAGCACCTAGCGAGATAATTAAAATCTTGACTCACTGTTAGAGTAGTCAGGATACATTGCTTCAAGTTTTCTGAAGTTTTCAATCTGCTTTTTGTGTCAAAACATGGCTACAGCCTGCTCCAAATTGGTCTAAAGAGTTTTATTCAAGAAAGCAAACCACCACACCATATGTTTATAGGTAACTTCCTTTAAAAGATGACAGAGGCGTTCATAGACACTTTTTTTTGCTTATTTATTTTAAAAAAGCAAAGTCAACCTGTTTTATACATAAATATAATAAAACAATAAAAGAAGTCTAACATTCACAAACATCTCTACAAAATAATAAATATAATTGGAAGCAAAAACACACACAAACTCTTTTACTGTTAACTATACTATGTGTCCTACATATATACCTTTATACCCTGCTCCTCCCAACAAAAGTGGCACATGCTTAAACCTCGTCAGTGTGGCAGCATTTACCCTTCTATTGTTTAGGCTATATACTATTTTTTTATTGTTTTTTCAATCTATTTCTAGGAAAACCAAGCCTTTCTAGAATAGTAAGTGTACTTTCTAATCAGACTTCTAGCTTTGTATTTTTCTAGATTTGTATTTCACTGCCTTTAATATACAACTGCACACTACCTGGTTCTCCAGGCAAACTCAAGTTGAGCACTGTACCTGTGTTAGGGTATGTGCAGTTCACACTCTGATACACATTACTCTCAAGATAGACATTGATATAGATGCATTTATTAACAATGCCTCCATTTAGTCTTACTGCACTAAATTGTATTCATTAGATACTATGCATGTTAGGGGGCATGAGTATCACAGCCTATTAATAATGAAGTTCCAACAGTTTGGAAGTATTTAAAAAAAAAAAAAAGACAAAAAAAAAAAAAAAGACTATTCACATTTCAATTCTACCACCATAAATGGCTTTTAGAAATGGTATAAAAAACATCTGTCAAATCTAAATGGGAAGTCACAATATCCCATTTCATTAGGAGTAAATTTTGCTTTCTACGCCCTGATCTTATTGGGATAGGGATGGGAGAGAAAATGAATGCAAGGTCAAAACAATGACTGCCTGTTCTGTAAGTTTTCACTTCCATGCTGCTGTGCTGCAGCTCTCAAAGTCAGCTTTCCAATTACACCATTCTATTCTGAATGCAAAGCGTTACATTTTCATATGCAGTGACCCAAAACAGAAGTGTTGCAAAATATAGATTCTCAATACGTTTCAGTTTTATGTGCAAAAAATCTGTACTTTTAACAGTACCCTGTGTGTGCAATTGTAGTAGTCAGTCCTGCAGCAACAAAGACTTGCTACTTGTAACATGACAAAATGTAAAATACATCCTAATCATTCTTTGTTAAAGAACTGACGATAAAAAAAGACTCCATATAAAATACAATATTTCTTTTACTCAAAAATAACTCAGTGGAAATGTATGGAATCCTGTAATACTAATAATGTGGCTATTAATTATACATATGTATACTGATGCCATAGCAATTATCCTTCAATTTTAACTACATGTAACCAAAAAATGAACTGTTCTACAAAAATAGTCCAATATTAGAGAACAATACAGAACAAAAGTATTATAAAGACTTAAAATTCACAGAGAAAACATTTTAAATCAGTTAAGCCTTCAGCTCAAAGTGCCTTAACATTTAGGCACATACGGTAGGTATATAGTTCTCTGCTGTTTTTACAGACTCACAAACAAGAATCATTCTGTCTTACCAGTTAAAACAGCTCATGTAATTTGGCTTATTGCAAGCTTTCAAACATTCCCACAAAAAAGAAAGCCAATCCTCTCACCCTTCCAACACAACATCACCATCTCTGACTTATCAGGTGGCTGATGCAGGCAGGGTATACTGACATTGCAAAGATGTGGCACTGTAAGTTTACAGCAAGACCCTGTTACTAACAGAATTGGTGATTCTGAATCAACAAATAATTGTTACGGGAATCCATTTTCGAAATGCAATGCTGTATACAATCACTGCTCTTCTGCAGTTAGAAGTTCAGAACTTTGATGGAAGTTCTGCTCCACTAATTCTCTCCTTATGCATTCATAAGGCCATTAAACAGACTGGACTAATTAAACACTTAGGCATCTCACAGCTAAATGAAACTTCTGTAAATCAGTGGCACACAATCTCTAATGTCAAGTTAAACAAAGCTAAAGCAAATTTCAGGTTCCATCTTTGGATTTCATGTTCATGGGAATATGGATATGCATTCTGTGTCTACAACATCTTGCAAAGTTACATATAAAAAAATATACATACGGTAACCACAGCCTAAATCTCCATAATTCACATATTTCTTAGTAAGTTCCTGAAAAGAGAAAATGCAACTGGACCTTGCTGTCTGTTATGAACTTGTACAGATACTGTATGTAAATTTATCAAAGATGTCCAATTCTTGCTGGAAATTAGCTTCTTGATGTAAGTTACAGTTTATTTACTATTACCTTGGTAAATACAGATAGTAAATATTTATAAATATAAAATGCAAGCCATCAACAGCTCACTTTTGCTGAGACTTTCTCAGCATGTACAAACTTGTCACTGACAAAAGTGTTCCTTGTCCTGTAAGTCTCAACAAGTATTCCCAACTGTTAAATATCCAGCCCTATCTTAACGTAGCGTATTCCCTCTCTATGAGTCTATTCCTGCTCCCACAGAAGTCAGTGGAAAATTCTTATTTCTCTTAGTGGAAAAGGACTAGACAATTATGTGCTTTGAAAGTGTTACAGGATTATTCAGATACGTTCTCAGTACGCAGAATAATAACCCATGCATGTCAATTCCTATGTCTCCTGAAAAGTATTTTTACTTTAATGTTAATCTTATTTTTATCTTAATCTTATTTTTATCCTAATTTCTGAAATTATTATACAGGAATACTAAGGATTTGGGTCTTAGGTTCGGCAATCACTGTTTGACAGCTGAAATGTCTCAACATCCTCACCAAGTTTTTAGCCTAGATAAAAGCATATTGCCCACAAATGTAGTTAGTAAAAACTACATAAAAAGCTATTTTCCATACACTGTTGAAGTGGTTATGTAGTGTTGCCTATACAACCGTAGTAAGCTTTTTGCCTTCCATGTTATGTATCATAACATCACAGGATAAAAGGCTGTATTTAAAATGAATGTCACAACAACATGTTCAGCCATATAGCTGCACTTTACAGCACTGGTCTCTTGGTGTGCTGCCATACTAAACAGTAGGGGAAAAAAAACAGATAGCGAATGGTAGTTTTAAACTGACACATACTTCTGACTGCTGTGTTAAGGCAGACAGATGTAGATTTCCAACATTAAATCCACAATGGGTTTTTCTAATGTTTCTGCCTAGGAATCCAAGAAGTTAACAGGAAACAGGCCACTGTACAGCTAGGGTAAAGGAAAGCCCCACATGAAATACAAGCAAAAAGGAAATAAGGAAGCAAACAGATGGAGCACACAACAGGAGAACAGCTAGTGAAGTACAGCAAGCAGAAGTTCCATATTATTGAAAAAAACAAATACTTCAGGGAGAGGCTGGTGAGTAAAGTTCAGTCAGGGGCTTTTTTCTTCTACCTTGTACCCAGGAACTGATTTGGGTAATACAGAACGTTTGGAACCATCTTTTCTTGGAGTAGCACTTTTGTCTCTTGTTTTTTGTCTTCCCTGAAAAGAATCCTCCTGGTTGTCTGTGGCGCAATCACCTTCAGATACATTGCCAGACGAATTGTCCTATAATAAAAATACCATAGCTATATTTTTTTATTTTTTGGATAGACAGACAAGTCTTTTGTATGCCCCTTAGAGCCAACTAAGGTAAGAGAAGGGTACACCATTCCTTCTGCAAAAGCATGGGGTTTATCACAGTCTAGAACACCTTTGCTCACAGCATTCATTATCTGTTTTTTCTCATGCTAACAGATTGGCATCAGCAACAGCAGTCCTGTTTTCCAGTTGGTCTTGGCACCACAGTGGGAAGCACAACAGTGTAATTCTTTGAACCGTTTTCCATTAAGTCAGCAAGAAATCCATTATATGCAAGATGCTGTTTACAAAGTAAAGGGCGAGCAAAAAGTTAAAGGTGCCCTTGTCATGCATTTAAAGCGTACTACCAAACAGCACTGCCTTGAATTTAATACGTGAAGGTTTTTTTTCTGCCACCCTCATCTACTATTTTCACCAGGAGCAATCTAAGTATTTAATTTGGACTGGAGCAGAAGAATGCCATCAACAGCAAAACACATTTCCATATTTAATACAGAAGCAAACAACAGGATTTATGTTGCAGTTAAAGGGGGTTTTTTTTGAGGAATGAGGAGGCAAGAAAGAGGGGAAGAGTTTCAAAGAGGGTGAGAGATCAATGTAAGCATAATAAGGAGCAGCAGCACAAGACTTTTCTCAGAAAAGTGTTAATAAAGGCTTCCAAAAAGCTCCAGAAGGAAGCAGTATGATTATTCACATTTATTACAATAAAACCCAAAAGGCCAAATAACAATGGTGCCCTACAGTAAAACATGCTCAGTACATGCTCAGTGCCCTACAGTACAAACATAATAGTAATCAGCCTAAAACCAAAACAGACCAAACAGACACAGGGCAAATGGAGAAGTACACCATCAAAGCAAACCAAACTATGTGGCAACAAGATATGCTACGTTTCACTCTTACTTTGGGGGAAGGGTTATTTACAACAAACCCATTAAAACACTACAAAAAACTGCTACCAGTGTCAAACAGTGGGGAGGGTGACAAAGGAAAAAGTATAAAGCATAGTGTAGGACTCCACTAGGGAGATCTGACAGATGGTAGGTAGCCCAAAACTTAGTGCCTGACAACAGCCACCTCTGTATTCAACACGTTTTTTCCTGAACTATATGCCCATCCTCAATAACTAGCAAGAACCCCTGCTTCCACAGCCAAACCCATTTCACATGCATCTGATTATCAGTTTTGCACATTTTTCTACACTTTTCTAACTAAAGGACATTTTTTCTTCTGCATTCTGTCACCAAAAGACTTCCAAACTTCAATGAAAAATCAAAGGATAGTCTGCTTGGCCCAGTTAGTTTTCTTTATCATTAACATGAATGACTGTCAGTTGAAAAGGAAAGTGGGTAAAAACAGGTAAAGACCAACTGTAAAACAGCTGGAGTGTGATTAAACCAAAATTTTGATTTGACATTTAACATGCTAAGTTTATATAATTTCTTCAAATGCAAGCAGAAGCAGTGTATTAAACACTCTCTTTCCTTTGTTAATCTACAAGCTTTCTTCTTCAGTTATGAGTATCTTACAAAATTCAAACAAAATAAATATTTACATGGCAAAATTTAGAATTATACATACCCACCATCAAAACATGTTCATCAATCAAGCTGGAATATATTAAATGCACCTGTGACATTCCATTGCTGTTAAAATTAGGGTTAAACCTCTGAAAAGTGGTTGCCACCAACATACAAACTACACCCAACATACCAGTGCTTCAGTTGTACTCAACTCATTTGAAGCTCAGCTGCTCCCAAGCATTTAAAACACTATCAAGGTAGGTATGTGGAAGTTTCCCTTAACTTTCAGCTAACACTTAATTTTGCATTTGCGTAAGTAGAAAAAACATAAATATCTGCTTAAAGATGTATTGTTAAGCAAAAAACCCAGCACTTTTACCCTCTTTTTAAATTGGAATAAGGTAATTGTTTCTGTAATGAGTACTTCCTGCTTCTATGTCACAAAAAGTTATGAGGTTATCAAGACCTCTGCTTTAGAGACAAATTCTGTAGGACTCTAAACAGCAGAATATACTGTGGTCTGAACTACAGCGTTCATTCTCTTCAGAAACGCTAGCAACAACTTCCCCTTGGGTAAAAGGGCACAATGAAGAGCTGCATTGGGGGGAAAAAAAAAAAACAAAAAAAAAAAAGAAAGGGCCTGAAATTTCAAATATTTGCTCCACTTAGTTTAAAAATGGATCAAAATGGAAAGCTGGAGAGCAGTGTGATAAATTAAAGTACTAAAAAAGATCCTCCTTTTATTTTGCAAATGTTGAAAGATTCTACTAAGAAACTAGTGAAACTAACAAAAGTGAAGGGAAAGTATTATTTTGTTCAAGAATACTTTCAGCTTGTCTCACCGAATTGCCTTTGGTTTTCCGTTTCTCATCACCTCGCCCTTCCTCTGCGTCATCTGAATCTCCATCACTGTCCAATGCAGGCAGCTCTGGATCCAAAGGAGGTTCGTAAAGAGCTGTGTTTAACGGCAAGTAACGAAGTTCATCTGGAGAGTATCTAAAGTTAAATAAATAACATTAATTCATTTGTGTGTACTTGATGCATAAATATTAAATCATGCCGTATACAAAAATGTCAATAAGAAAGACTAAGAAACACTTATTTGTTTTCAGAAAGGTACATGAAGACATACAGTTCTGAAAACACAAGAAACATACTAATTTCTCCTCCCAAACGTGATGCCATCTAGTACTTGTCTTCTTTTTAGACCAGATATTCACAGAACACAGGAGAGTGTATTTGCAATGTTCCATAACTGCGTGAGAGACCACGGAACCACTACAAATTTTTAACCAACCCACGCTACTATGCCCAACAGACCATACACTTTGTTTATAAATGTACAGTGCCCACACAGCACACATACAGTTCTAACCCAGGGCACACAAATACATCCAAAGCGAAGTACGGAAAGGATACAGCTGTACATCCAAATTCCTTGATTATTGAAGGAGAATGGAAAAATGCATATAAAAATATAATTTTGGAAGAATGCAAAGATCTAATCACATTACTCATAGCCAAATACAGCTTAACATCCGTAATCCACCCTTTAACTTTTTAATTAAAGACTAAGAAAAAAGTGAAAGTCCTCTTACTGCTGACGAGCATTTTAAGAAATGGGATACTATTTTGATGCAAATTTTGAAAGGTTGTGTCTTTCACCAAGATGGATAAGCAGTTTCACTTGCAGCTTAAAAGTGCAAAACAAACATAATACAGAGTAATTTTATTCAATTAGTTTAATAAAATTGAAGTCCTTCAAGAATGTCCTGTAGCATGCAACTTTGAGGTGGGTTGTACAAACATACACTGGAACAAGCAAGGCACTTAAAGATGAAGAGCTTCTCTAAAGAAAACCAAGCATGTACAGAATGAATACCATCTCTGTTGTATAATGGTAAGACTTCAACAAAATCTTCAAATTAGTATGTGTATGTTCAATGGTAGCCTGCCACTAGTAATATCTTAAATTTATGTAAACATTCAAGTACACATTCTTCATGAAATGTAAAGATCCAGCTTGCAATGTCTTTCTCTCTCACAAATCCAACATCAATTTTAACCCACAAGACCAATTAACCTTTTTTTTTTAATTAAGGAGTTTCTAAAAATTTTAAAAAGGAAAGCAAGACTGTCACACAGAAAACGTGATCACAAGCCAGCATTACAACACTGATACAGAAATATTAATCTTGGTACACATGCAGAGGCAGATGATAAGTAAATACATGAGGGTGGCAGAAGTGAAATCAATGTCTCCTTTTACCATGGTAAATATCTGAGCAGGACAAATCTTAGGCACTATAATACATCACGGTAGACAGTACTCTTGCAGTCATTACTGACTGTTGTTGACAGAAGATGTCACACTATGCATCTTTCAAGATTAGCAAATGCCTCAAACATAAAATTAAATCATAACCTTATAGTAAAGACACTAAAATGTTTTTCCACCTGCTACACATAGAGAAAAGGGATCAATGCAAGAGAACTGGCAGTTTGCATGCTTTTAAAATACCTTTTGTAGTACTCCTGGAACTGGCCGGGTATGAGAGCCACTGGATAAGGACTAACCTTTGTTCTCTCTGTAGGTAAGATTTTGTATTTTCCTTGAGGCACCTGGATAATCTGCATTGTTTAATATAAAACAATGACATTTTTGTTTCACATACAAACTGTTAAGTCTTTCTCACCAACTATTACCCCAAATATTTCTTAACTAATCAGTTTTATTGAAACAGGAAAACTACCTGAGTTCTTCCATGAGAAATTCAATTCATTAAAACAGAAGTTCCACTCACAAAACAGTATTATTTATTAAATTCAATCCCTAAGTATCTAGCGAACTGAACGAACGTTAGGTAATACTACTTCGAACAGTGTATTTAGAAAAATAATTTTTAAATTAAAATTTAGCAATTGAAACAATAAACATTAACTTTTCTGCATGGTATCCTTAGCATGAATTATCATTGTTGGCCCATACTGGTCGAGAGTAGAAAGAACACATATATCTAATTCTGAAACCAGACTAGTATAAAAACTTCTATTAATAATATAAATACATGGAAAAGAGAAGCTTACACAGAAGCCTTCCTTCCCTCAGAAGGAAATAAAACTAATTATCCACTATCTTGCCTCTAACATGGGATAATACCAGAAAGATGTAAACTTTCCACAATTGACTGCCATGTAATAATTTGCAGAGAAAATTTTTGCTGTCTTTATAGAAGTAGAACAGTACTGCTTCAAAACACCAGCTAATTTTTGTCTTATCAGTCACTGAGGCATGTAATATATGCACTACGAACATAATGCAACATCTAATGAAAAAAAAGGGCATAACACTGACAGCAGCACTCTTTTAAAGAATAAATAGTTTTCTTTTTTACTTCAGGTACTGTTCCAGCAAAATTTTAGAGGTATTCCAAAGAAGAATTAGCCATTTTTATGCATAAATATAACAGCAACAGAAGCTTTTTAGTAACTGAACAACCCTCTTAGTTTTATTCTTCTATCATCAGATTAAAGACATGATAACAAAATAACACTGAATTTTTTAGAGCTTCATGAGACAAGTATTTTCAAGTTTAAAAAGTTTTCAGATAAAATATATTTGAGATTATTTTTAGCAGTATTACCCATTTAACCATAAAACTGTGTAAGTCCCTACATGACTGAAAAATAATGAAAAACCTTGATAAAAGTTAAAATGGTACCAAAACCATCTTTACTAAAACAAGTAAGGAGCTACCTGTTAACATTGGTAAGAAATTTAAATCTGCCTACATGCGTCTGTAAATCAAAATAGGCTCTTCTTTCTTCCATCCGCTCTCGGTTTAAATTGCTGTTGAATTCTGCAGCTTTTTTGGCAGCTTTTTTAATGTATTCTGGAACTTTACTGGCTTCTACTTTCTGTGTGTTCTGCTGCTGCATTTGCTGGAATAAAAACAATTTTATTAATCTGCATACATTTCACTATCAGTTTGAGAACAGCTTTTTCTCACACTCAGTGTTATAGATGTTCTCTTATATGCTAATTACTTACAGAGTACTCTTTATAATGATCCGTTATTCGCTGACGTTCTTTCTCTTGCAGTATAACAGAATACTCAGCATGTTTGGCAGGGTATTCTTTAATCATAAGATCAATTACTTCATCACTACGCAAAGCTGTTAGACCTAAAATACATAAAAGCAATAATAATGCTATCTGGCAAAAGCAACTGTAGGTTATTTATATCCCACAATGACCAACTCAAGTTTCTAAGTGACTAAAGGCAACAACCTGCTGCATAAAATGCTTCTCAAGTGGGAGTGAACTTGTGCAGTTTAGTTTTCAAGGCTGATTACAACTTTGCCTGTACCCAAGGAGCCAAGGTTCATGCCATTTCTTCCTTACAGCTACAGGCCCCTTCAAATTGACTCAACCACCCACTTAGAACTCCACAATGGGGCAGATCCTTTGTTCTAGATGAGACCTTGTGAACTGTTAGTTTCAGTTTTCAACTCTGATCAAATCTTAGTTTCATTAACCTGCAAGACCTTTACTGAAATTACGAGGTTTACATAACATCTCATCCAAATCAAGAATCACTGTGAGGGCAATTCAGAGCAGCAGACTGCTCACAGACTCCTGACTCCCAATTAAAGCATCTAAAGTTCATAAGTCAGAATGCCTCAGCTTGCAGCCACAATGCAGAACTCTTCCTTTAGAGGTTCCAACACAACTAATCTCCAAACACAGGCAATGGAATGGAATGACTCATGTTACTACCAAGAGTTATAAATATAACCTTAAAAATATGGATAGTAGACTCAGCACACATCTCTGTTGGATATATGAGACAGAATATAACATTTTACTTCTATTAATAAAAATTGGATATGGTCTCTTCTATATAGTAAAGTTATAAAAAATAAATACACAGGTGGCAGTTAAGAAATAAAGATGGTATACCAAAGATTGTTAGTATTTAAAATGACATTACATTTACACAAATGTTACACTTACGCATTTACCCACGATATACAGAAAAAAATGTGGTAGGCATCATTTAAACTCTAACATCTCCAAGCCACATATATTAGCAGAGTAAGAAAAACATTCTTCAAGCTCTTTCAATGTAAGCCTCATTAATTACATCATTCCATTTCAAGTACATTAGAGTGTATATTAATATACACTCTTCTGGTTTCTAACACAGAAGTGGAACTATCTAAGAAACACTGATGTTTGCTGAGCTCCAACCAATGCAGCAAAACAAGATTGACGTTACTTTTTTATTTGAAAAATTACGGTGGTCTCTTTCCTAAAGGATAAAGGTTCTAGAATTCTAATTTAAAAGCTAGCAAAATCCCTTCTAAGTAATTAGAATAGATCCAAAATATATTTTTTGATAATGAATCTGGAATATTGATACATCATGGCCAACTTACCAAATTAATAATAAACCAGTTTTAATTTCAGAATTTTATGATTTCATTTGAGAATAATGCAATTCTTCTCGATCAAACTGAACCTACTTTTTTTGTGTCATAGTTTTTATACTGTAATAAAAACTCTAACATTTGTTTTCTTACCTAGTGTGCACTGAGTCTCTGTGATAACATTTAGTTCTCTGAGGTAGAGTTTCTCCTTGTGAGACAGATCTCGCCTTTCTAAATCTCCAAAGAAAACAAGAAAGAGAAATAAAAATGCACGCAGTTACTCAAACTCCTCCATGAACACTGTCAAAGTATTTTGTGAATTTTGTTTCCAGGAAGCTAGTGTGTACTATACTACTACTGCATAAACACGGTAATTTTATAAAATAATTTTAAATTTAATACACAATGTAGGGACATTGTCAATTTTCTTGAGTACCCTGCCTACTGTTACGATTTTCAGAAAACTAAAAAAGAACTGATATATGAATTCAGATGCAGTAATTATTAACAAGCATTAGAGTTCTTTTTAATTTCACTATGGCTTTTAAAAATAAACTCCATGATAGAAGATCCAGATTTAACAATTCTGAATAATGAAGGCTCAAATACTAGAACCTCCACAACTAGTTTTAAAATTCTTCCACATTGTAGAACTGTTGCCACAATTCAGGAAACAGAATATAAAGTTATATAGTAAGGAATGACCAACAAAATACTTAAAAATAAAATTGAGGTAATTTTCAAAAGGTACTTGATGATCCAATCCCCAAATTAGACTTGTTTAAAAATTTTTAGTGGTAATGCCAAAAAGTCTTATATTACTTCAAAAACCATAGGATACATTTTCAGTACACCAGTAGTAAAACCAAAAAGTACAACATATATAAGCCAGGTATGCTTTTGCTAGGTCTTTTAAACAGCTGGCTCATACTATAATCAGAGACACAGACTACATCTGTTTAAAGACAGTTTTGTAGAAGAAGAACTCGAAAAATAAATACCTGGATATTTTCTTTTAAAGGAAGTTACACCCAAATATTCACTGACTTGCTCCTGAAGCATATAGTATTCTCCTGTTTCATCTGGTGGCCATTTGTATTCTATTAAATTTTCAGCAGGAAAATAACTATATCTGAGTATAAGAACAATGTTAGAACAAATCACAAGAATCCTTAAGAGCAATATTTACATTTCTAGAAATTCAGTAATTCCTATTTATATGTCAGTGAACAGTAACTACAAAGTTGGACGAGCACTTCAGACCACTACATGCCGTTAACTCATTTCAAAGTCACTTTGTTACTCCCAGTTACTTTATTATACCCGACTTCACCTATCAGCATTCATCCAAGTAACAATATCCAAATAACCATTCATCAGCATGCAAAGAGACAGAACATGAAGAAAGTGATATTTATTCCAGTGGAGAAGACACCGGGAAAAGCAACTACTACAGTGTCAAAATTCATTCAAGAAGCATGCAATGTTTTAAAAACATGTCAGCTGTGTTTCTGACTATGCATCAGATGCAGCACTTTTTGTAGCATTTTAAAATAAAATGTTTTAAAACATGCTGGCAGCAAAAGACAGCTAGCTATTCATTGCCTCAATTCAGCAAGATGTATCAAGAATACGAAAGTAAAAAAAAAAAAGCTTTATTTAAGCATATTGAACAATACAGCAAAACTTGGAATGAAAAAAGTCGGAATTGTAAGAAATGGTATTACCCAAGGTCTTGACTAGAAGTTTCACAGCTCCGAGAACTGTCCCCTGAGCCCATACGCCGTCTTTTGGATGGCTGGCTGCCATCATTGGAATTTTCTTCTGTGTCATCCTGAAATGCAAATGAAGGTAAACATTAAAAAAAAAATCAAGAGTATTCAGCAGATGATGTAAAACATCATAAAATATTGCAAAGCAATCCACAATTTAAACATATCTGAACTCCTAAGCTGTTCTATGCGCTCTTAACAAACAACTCATAAGACAGCTTACACAGCAAATTATTCTTTGCTATAAACCAGCTGCAGAAGACATGCTGGCACAGAAGTACAGCTGGGTGGTTTCTCACCTGTTGTGCAGGTGGACTAAAGAGACAGGGCTGTAGCTCTGACCACCAAGTTCATAATTCCTATCTCTGGAACTTTATCAGACCAGCTCTCAAAAACTGCAGGTGGAGAGCAAAAACACCAAGCCCTTGCTGAGAGCTGACACTCTAAAATCAGGGAAAATATTACTGAAAGCAGCACAGGAGTATATAGGTATACAGTTAAAATTAAAGGAATGGTTTACAGTTTACAAAAAGTATCATTACAGCAAGGATCAAAGACTTGTGTTTTGTGAGGAAAAAAATAAAGAAAAAACCCAACTTCATATTGCAACAGATACAGAACAAAGCTATTACAAGGAAACACTCAGAAGTTACAGGTGTCGCTATTCAGATTTCATGAGATCTATATAAAGAAAGGGGATGAAGGGTGAAGAGGAGAAAAAAGACCAAAACAAAACAGACTTCCGTAAAATCAAGAAGATCGGTGACTCAGCTGATCTTGTATTTGTCATTGCTTTGTTGTCCAACAATGCTATGCAACTCCTACCTGCATCATCAACAACTCTCAAAGCATTTAGTGACTAACCCTGTCTGATCAAAATCGAGATACAGAAAGTAGAAAACTCCAAGTAAATTGCCTATTGTAACAGGAAGTACAGTCAAGAACAAGACAGTTCTTCAAGTAGTTGAATTTCTGAAGTGGAGCAGTGTGAAAAAATCACATTTTCTAACTTCCATGAAAAGTTTAAGCAAGAAGAATTAACCTGTTAGAAATAAGTGGATCAAGCCCAATCATACTTATTTAATAATGCCAAGAATGATTATTAGGTTTATGTTTGCTAATGTCTTTCATTCTAGTAGGCATTATATATCATAGGATTTGAAATATCAATTTAGAAATATTCCAGCAAATGAGAACACATTACTTTGGCTATGTAACAATTCACAATGCTATAATCAAGACAGGTTACTGGGAAAAAGAATTTGTCTCGTGTATTTTTGATTTATTTCTTGTTTTTCACAATTTTTCACAAATTTTCTTTCTTGTTAAGGAGGAAGAAGAATATCACTCACACAATAATAAAAAGTGAAAAGCAAAATATAGTGGAACTGTTTTCTTAAAGCAGTCAATCTTAAAGAATCAGGAATGCAGCATCTCCACTCGTTTTACTACTAACACCATTTCCTAGCAATGCTGTATAAACTCAGGTAGACAAACTAAGCAGCAATCCCCTCTAGTGCAATACTGCACTAGAGTATTTTCTGACACAGCTATGTCTCATCAGCAGTTCATCCCTACTTCCCACACAGAATATTAATGCACTCCAAACCTTCTGAACTGCTAGACAGGACCAAAGCAATGCTCTGCTATAGCAAAACCACCAAGAGACTTAAAAACATCTTTAAAAGAAAGAAAGACAGATCTCAATCTGACAGTTTGGTGGAAGTGCCTCACGTCAATTTCTACTTTCATTTTGTAATTTTTCTTTTATGAAATCCTGCAGTGCTAAAACAATGAGTACCCTACCACAGGAGAGATGAATGTCCTCCATTTACAATTTCGCTTACTTATTGTTTAAAACTTCAGCAAATTCAATCACAAAAGCTCACGAATAAGTTTGCTGCAGAGGACTTAGCAGAAGTGAAAACACTGGTGGTGCAATCTAAGAAGCGCTGCTGTTCAAATACTCCTACTGTTTCAAAAAAAAAAAAAAAAAAGAAAGAAAGAAAAAGGGGACAGTTCTGTGGTTTTCTTTACATGACAAGTCAAACACTGCCAAAAATCCGCCCCCTTCCTCCCCTGAAATTTCCTTAGGAAAGGCGGTGACGTTCCGAACTCCTAGTAGGTCTATTAATTATAAGATCGACGTAACGATCCTTTATTACGCGATCGGGAAGCCTGAACTACCCGAGATGTGTTTCAAAGAGCGATGTGTTTCGATCTGCCCCGCGAGTCCTCGGTGCCACAAGTGCCCGCGGTTGCCGGGACGCGCCGGTGCAGCCCGGCGGGGCCAACGCAGAACTGCCCGCGGCCGAACCCAAACTTTCCCGGCTGCGGCGCTACCGCACCGCCCCCGGAAAGGCGCCGAAGGACTTTTCGGAAGCAAGACGGCCCCGGGACCCGCAGTCCTGGCCCCGCACCCTGGCCCGAACTTCGGACGCGGGAGGCCGCCCTGCTCCCCCGGCGGGGGTGAAGCGAGCCCGGGGCGGGCGGGGAGGGTGGGGGGGGGTGTTTCAGCGCCCAGGCGGGGGAGCCGCGCGAGGCCTCCCGCCGAGGCGGCCGTAGCGCCGCAGCCCCCGCGGCCACCGCCGCCCGCTCTCACCTTGAGGGACTGCGCGCCGGGCGTGGCGGGGTCGCTGTCGCAGAGGCGCGGGGACAGCACGGCCGCCATGGCCGCCGCCGGCTGGGCCAGGAGCAGCGCCGCCGCCGCCGCGCGACCGGGCCTCGCGCCGCGCCCGCCGGCCCCGCCCCCCCGCGCCCTGCGGGGGGCGACAGCGGCCCCTACCGGCCAGCGCGCGCACGAGCGCACCGGCTCCTGCTCCGCCCCCCTCCGGGCAGCCCGCGGCGACCCCGGCCCGCGCCGCCGGACCGGCACCCGGACCGGACCGATGCCGCCTGCGCCGCCGCGCGGGACGGCCGCCGGGCACCCGCCGCCGCTGCCGCCGCCGCCACGCCCTCCTCCTCCTGCTCCTGCCGCCGCCGCTCGGGCGGCCGCGCGGCCCGGCCGCGAGCGCGGAGCCGAGCCGCCGCGGTAGCGCTTGGGCAGCAGCGCGGGGCGGAGGGGCAGCATCGCCCCTGGGGGGTGGTCAGCGGCGAGCGCGGGAGCTGGCACCCAGGAGGGCCGGGCTGCTCCGCTCCGCCGCCAGGCTCCCGTCTCCGGGAACGTCAGCCGGGGACGAGCTACGTTTGTGAACCATCAGCCCCCGCAGGAGGGGGGTACGGGGGGCGGGGGGCGCACTCGGAGGAGCCGCCACGAGCGCGCTCGCCCCTGCGAGGAGGGAGGGCGCGTGCAGCCGTTCCCCGCCGCCGCGCGGTCGCGCCGAGCCGGCTACGCGCGGGGCAGCGCCGCGCCCCGCTCCCGGTCTCTCCGGAGCTGAAGCACAGCCCTCCCTCCTCGACACCGGGAAAGACCGTCGTCCCGCCGGTGCGGGGACCGGGGCGGCGCGCGTGCCCGCCCGCCCGCGCGCAGCCAGGCCCCGTGGGCGCGCACGGCCCCCCACGCCGGCGAACAAAGCGCACGGCCGCGCCCCGGCCCGGCGCCGCCCCTCACACCGGCTCCCCCGCACCGCGGGTGGGCGCCCACCCGCTCCCCGGGCCGCTCACCGCCCCTCGCGGCGCGCCCGCGCTCGGCTCCAGACGCGCTCGGACCCGAGCTGGGCCAAGCGGGCTGTGGGAGCACCGCCGCCCCGTCCGCGTTTGTTCTCAGCTGCCAGCGATACAATGGAAATGGTACAGGCACCAACCTCGATCTCCACACACGGCAGGTCCAAAAGCTGATGTCTACACACTTCACAGATTTGCCTGATTTATCAAAAGACAATCACTACTACCCTTGCCAGTTATCATGGACCAATTACCCTCGTTACTGACCCCATTATCGGTGCCACCGCAGGCCCCTAGACCAAAGTGACCAACATGTTCAGTGCAGTACCTGTCCACCAACCTGAATCCCGGACCCAAGCTTAAGGCCTGGGAAACCTATTGACTGAACTTTAAATTAATTCAAGGCAACACTGGAAATTTGCACAAGTTTCTAGGACTGCAAAACACAGATTCCCTCCCGGGCAGGTTTCTAGGCAGACTGGCATTTGATAGTAGAGAAAACTAGGTAAAAAGTGAATACTGCCTTTTCTTACAAAAAGCATGCTTTTAAGAAAACTGATACCTGCAATTTCGTGTAAACACTAGTCCTAGGCACACAACAGACAAGCAACATTCAAAATTTTCCAATGTTTGGCCTTAACACCAGCTGCTTTCACTTGCACAGCAGAGCATTCAACAGATGAAACCCATATGTACTCAACCATAAACATTTCCAAAGTGTTTTTTGGGGTTGTTTTTTTTTTTTTTAACAGAGAAAAAAAGAGGAAAATTATCGCAACTGTATGTCAGTTTCAATGTGCCAACAGCAACAGGACAAAAATGAATACTAAAATAATGATGCTCTGAAAATTTTCAAATGTACCACGTACTGTGATGCACGAATCCATCTGTGGCTTTCAAAATATTAGTCGTAGTAACAAGCCATTACCAAAGCCAGGGCAATAAATGTTTCAGTTTCACATTTAGCTGAAACCCAAGTGTCTCTTTGAACATCCCAGAGGCATCTGCTGGCAACCTAAAGGGAAAAAACAGAAAAAGCTATTTGTGAATATATATACAGCACAGGTTTACTATTTATTTTTTAAAGAACATACAGCATTATCTAAATGCTAATCTAATTGTATTATGAGAGTTACAACTAGTAACAACAATGCACAAGTTAAAATTAACAATTCCTATTCGATGTTAAATAGATGTTCTTGCTTCACAGAAAAGCTCCCACTGATATATCCAAAAATCTCTACACTAATCCCTAATTCTCTCTCATGTTCACTTGTTGCACTTTAGCATACTGCTAAGAGCATCCCTTAAAAAGCAGTAGAATGTGCCTATGTGAATAGACATTTGTTTTGGGAACATATAGAACTAAGAAGTCACATCCCTCACTCCTCCACCTCCAGCTTAGTCTAGTCTTGTGACCATTTACTGGGCTCTCAGCTTTTTTGACAAACTTGTTTTCAAAGCTAAATTCTGTGAACTGATGGCTGGAATAAACATATTCCTTAGGAGAAAAAAAGTTGACTTGGACCACTTCACTAATCTGTTCGTACCTTATTGTTTTCAATTTGCAGAACATATTATGAATAATGTTTGCTTACAATCATTGCCTGATCTGTCTTTTCCACAATTAGCACTGATACCACATATTTATAACGGTCAAAGCCGAATTCCTTCACAGCCTTTAATATTTCTTCTGAGATTGAAGCACACAAGGAGGGACTAGAAACTCCATCGTATTTGGCATGTTGAAGTTTACTCTATCAAAAACAATTTTGAAAGATCTTAGTTTTCATCCTGGTAGTCTTTTGCAAAAAAACCTTTTACAGTCATTTTCTTTACAAGAACACCAGAAGAACTAATAAGTAGAACAGTCAATAGAGATGATACTCCCAAACAGCAAAGGATGTGCTACTTTTACGCTAAAATGTTTCATCTCTTTTTTTGAAAGGGACACACATATGATGTGTATCCAGCGAATTGTCCGGCCAATCTCCATTTAACAATGAGGAGTGTACTCTTCTCTATCATTAGGGCTCAGCTCACAGGAAAAGAGTGCTACAAATACCAGTTCCAAATATCCAAGGCATGTCTTCCAAACAGCAAAATTTAAAAGAGCTAGTTATAACTATTTAAAGTATCACTAACAGCTACGTATTATCTCCACAGATTGTTTTCTTTCATTTTTGCTTAATTTTTGTATGTAGCAGTCTGACTATTAAGAACACCAAGTATATTTTATGCAGGTCATGTGACATTAGCAGAACTAATAGAATTCCACAAACTTGAGGTCATGATCTTCGGCGTTTAACTGGAGATTTTGTAGATTAGGGTACTTTGAACTGGGCTGTAGCTCAATTTGATTTCAAAAAAGGCAAGAGTTTAAGAAGATTTAGCTCCACGTAAACAGCACCTAACAAGCTCAGCAGTGGCCTTGCAGAGGCCCTTCTGCACTTCGCCAAAATGCAGCACATTCACAAATATATTTCTCTGCCAAAACTCAAAGACTGCACAGATATATGCATCTGTTTAAGTTCATGTAATTTACCCTGTTCCATAAGCACCTTTGCAAGACAAGTTACTTTTGCAATGAAATCATGCAAAAAATTTAGAAATAAATTTAATTTAAAAAATACTGTACCGTTAGTATTTGTTGAGCTTTGTCTCTTACTAAACAATCCCGAAATTTATTACGGGACTCCAGTCTGTATGTGTTAGCACACTTTGGCTTTGCTTGTTCTTCCACTGGAGCCACATTTAAATCTTCAGAATGGGATCGTGCCTTTTTTCCTTTCATCTGTACAAATTAATAAGAAAGTCCACATTACATGTCAATATTTCAAATTTCAAAGTCTTTAAATAATACTTTATGGTGTACAGTTAAGAGGGAAAAAATCCAACAATTACTCTAGGAATACGTTAACAAAAAACCCACAGAAAGCTAGAAACTGGTTATCACCTTCTGGCTGTTTTAACACTACTACTGCTTTGACCAAAAAAAAAAAGATGTGGTTGACTTTTGCTACCACTTGACTTCTTTTCCAGCAAAATCCAACTGAAGTTTGCATTTAAACTCAGTCAATCACACACATCATATTAGCACCCTGAATCCACTCCATTTTCCAAGTAAAAATACATAGCTATTAACAGATCCATCCAAGACTGTTAACCACAAGTTCAAGCTTTTAATTCAAACAGCCTACACAATGCCCAAAATATGTACATGGTTTATTCACTACTTCATTTTATTTATCCTCATTCTTTGTGAAATTACTAAACCAATGGCTTATGTATTGATGACTTAATTTGCTCTTAAAAAAAAAAAAAAAAAAGGAAAAAAAAGGCAGGAAAAACAAAAAAAAAAGGAAAAAAATAAGTTCCAGTCTACAAATTATTGTAATTTTGCTTGGAACTTAAATGCAGACCTCTGAAGATCCAGTTTTCTCCCCATACAATTGTGTATTCTCTCTTCAACACATATAACAAAATTTGTCCCTCTATGAGTGCAAGCAGCAACTCTGATGTTGCAGACAAAAGATGTCACCTGCTGTCCTCCAGGGCTGGCTTAAAATAGAACTGTGAAATTATAATAAGACAGAGACAGAAAAGCACAAGGAACCAAAGAGACCATAACAAATACTACAGGCAGTGGTCTTCCATACCAGCTACCTGCTAATGAACTACTTTCACATTTTGCCAACTCTTTACCCTCTCGTTTAACTTCTTGACTACAGCTAAAACTTAGATAAGAGAAAATCATCATCTCCTTCCCAGAAGGGCAGAAAACAAACATGAAATAAAACATCACAAAACAAGGCTTACACTAACAATATAGGAAAAAAAAATCATACACTCTTGAATAATATGAAAGTCTAATGAGAATTATTTGAAGAGATGTGCTACTCAGGGGCTCACAAGTCTTTCAGTCCAAGGAGTTTAAGAATAAGAAATGCAATTTTTTTCTCTATGAAATCACTTATACTTTAGCCTTGTCAACGCTGTGGACACTACCTACATGCCTCCTCTAGTTCCTTAAAACCAGTGATTTTGGCAGCCTTAGTCCTAATTGCCTGCGGATGTTTATTGATACCACGCCAACACTGCAAACTCTGAATAGCACTTACTCTAAAAATGTAAGGAGCAAACACATTTGCACTTAGGCTGTGGACACTTACTATCTTCTAACTGCAAGCTCAGGTCTCGAATGACTACAGTGCTAACATGCTTGTCCTAGGTCTCCTAACAGAGGAAAAACCAGCAGTCTTCCACCTGAGCTGCTAAAATGAACACTCTGATGCATATGAGTAGAAAAGAACCTGTGAAAAATGTCACAACCCAAACAGCAATTCTTTGCTAACATAGTTCAGCCTGAGTCATAACATTTTCAGCCACTTCCATTGTGAATGGAAGAAAATTCATGTCTATAGCACGACTTCTAATAATGCTGCTCCTTAAAAGTTTACCTGCCATTTATTAGAGACAGAAGTTTCCATTATCATTTGCAAAAAGCTGTTTACTAATGAGGCAACCAAAAACCTTACTGATTTCTCTACACAGCCAGTCAATAAACCTACATTTGTATACCACAGTACAAACACTGTGATTCCAAGTTTTAGCACAACGTTGCAATTACGTTTCTGTATAATATTTGCACCCTCTGTGAAAAAATTCTCTCTAAAATTCAAGAACTGACTTTACTTTTGACAACTTGACCAACAAAAGCCTGTTCTTATGTTACTGGACTATTACTGCATTGGCTTAACCTTGGACATGTGGAAGTAAGTATGCTGAGAGAATAAAGCTTTTGCAATTTGAAGGACATGTTGTTTGTTAATAAGCCTGTTAAAAA